TCCAATGCCAAATGTAGTCTCGGCTCCAATGCCAAATGTAGTCTCGGCTCCAATGCCAAATATATCCTCGGCTCCAATGCCAAATTTATCTGGTCAATATAATTATGATGATTATTATAATAATCAAATGTCTCAGCGACCTACTATGGCTTATGGTCAAACGTATTTTCCTGGAGAGGATAATGAAATATCACAAAATAACATGTACAGTCCACAAGACCAGATGAATTACCGAAGATATGATAATTATGGTGATGTATAAAAATTGCAGCCATACAATCTAAAAAAAAAAAAAAACCAAAAACAATTATCTGAACACCCTTTCTTTCTGTCTAATAATAAACGTGTAAAAACTGACGAAAAAATCCTATTTTGGTATTAGTCATTAATAGATTTTGATATATATTAGTAATTGTATCTATATTTGATTATAATTTAAAAAAAAAATTTTTTTCGCAAAGGCTTTGTTTAGAGAACTTAGGATTATCACACCCAAATAAAAATATATATATAAAAAAAAAAAGATTTGAGATAATTGATCTTTTTGGTTATGTAATTAAACGAAAAAAAGTACGTATGTAAATATGCGTACAATTGACTAATTTACTTTAGTAATTTATATGTGACAATTTATTACATTTCATTAATGCATCTTTAAACATTATTAATAATAAAAAAGTTATTTGAAAAACTTTTACTTAAACATTTTTTTTTTACTAGGTAAATTAACAGTTGATAAAAAGTTTAGGTAATTTGCCAAATTGTAATATATTAAAAATAACTAAAAGTGCTTTCAAAGATTAGTCTGTATTTTTAAAATTCAACTTTAAGAATAATATCGTATAAACTGGTTAATAAAATATTACCTGTTTTAATATTGTACGTACAGTATATACAATAAAACTTAATGTATCTGGTATAGTAAATTTATAAATTTCGTATCGTATAATTTTAATCAAGTGATCTAAAACCATACCGAACTATAATCGTAATGTATTACAGTTTTTATTGGTTGACTAATAAGGTGCGATTGATGACAATGACACGACATATTTGAAACTGCAAGTAATACGTACCTTCGGGACTTTAATTTCCGAAATTAAGGAATTAAGTTTTTCACCTGTATACGTATAACTTGTCAAAAATTTAGTTTACGATAATTTACTCTTTCAAATTTTTATATAATTATTTAATTTTAATTTTATTATGACTAAATTTAAGGATATATAGTAATTAATATAGCATAGCTACTACTTTAAATCTATGTAAATTTAAAATGCAAGTAATAGAAATTTAGTTACCCACAACAGAATGCCTCAAACCTTATTAGTGCCAATCTTGGCGTATCGGTATTATCAACGAAAAATATATTATTTTATTTAAGGAGTTGAAATATGGAAACAGTGGTATTCGTACGTTCGTATGTGCATTAATTACCAGAAAAGTACAAATAATGATTAATTTTGATAATTTAAAAATAGGAGATTCTAAATGTGATTAAAAATTGAAATTCTATTAGCTTCACGGCCGATACGTACATTTGTAAATATTGTCATAAAAAGCAATATGCAGCTTCTTTGAAGAATAGATAAAATTTCAATTAAAGAATATGAAACATAATGGGACAAAAAAAAAGTTTATCATCATGCGTCTTGAACATGGTAACATCAGAACATGTAGTCTTTATTCTTGGCTGAAACAGGAATATCAGCTTACTTCGTGCAGCACTTGATTTATGTGCTATTATATTATAGATGCAGGCGATGAACTTCTGTTGTCGTATATTATTGGTGGATATAGCGCATTATTGTCTTAACGATAAAATAAATTATTTCGACATAGCCACTTCAGCCACGTGATCATCAGAAACTGTGTCCTAATATCTTTAACGTGAATATATTTTAATATGTCGTTCCAAGAAGAATATTCTTCCATTTAAAAGCAAATTTAAAGAATTTCTTGAAAGAAAAATATTA